AAGGAAAGGGTCGGTAACGGGCTAACGTCTCGGCCGACCGACACAGGTAAATCCCAACGGTCGGTAAAAGCACCGAGGGTGGTCGACAGTTGGTAAAGAAGGAGTTACCGACTGACGAGAAAAGGCCGGCGGATGGAACGGCATCTGATGGTAACTCACCCGAGAAGGAGAAGCCACTAGATGGCGCCACCAGGCCTAAATTCCGATTCAAGGCCGAGAGAACGGATTTCTTGCGGGAAAATTCGAAAAAGAGCGCCAGAAAGAGAAAAATTTGAATTTTTCTCATTCTGGAAACAACACTAGCGAATCTAGTGAGGTCGTTAGCGGAATTACTGAAAAAGGAAAAACCCTAGAAGGAATAAGCGATGGAAAGACGCCCAAAACAGAGGACGCTATCGACAGGAAGAGCGAAAATTCAAATTTTTCTCTACCTGAAGTAGCGACCAGATGGCCTAGCGATAGTCTCGGGAAAAATAGGGGAATCTCAATAAAAGTTGGGACCCCAGAAGGCCCCAGCAACAGAAACACGACCCGGAATAGAGGGCGCGATCAGAGACGGGTCCAGGAGTGGGGAGAAACCCCCCACTCTTGCGAAACGGGTATAAAAGGAGCTGCAGAAGCCCGAGTCGGCCTCTTGTCTGTCCCGAGACACTAGGTGCAATACACCTGCGACTCAAACAGAGAACCCCAAGAAGCAGGTGATAGATGATGAAGGTCACTACGATCTTCGAGAGAGAAGCATGGAGTAGCTGAATAAACCTGCTCCGTGAATAGTTAGAGAAGCACGCACTTTTTTCAATCGTGGTGCCTCTCTAGGGACGGGTGGTGGTCTAGGCATTGCCGGACCTAATTGCCAAGGAGCCCTGGATAAGATAATTGATCCAGAAATGTACCCCACGTCTTCGTGTACTTGGACGATATTATTATCGTATCCAATAGATTTGAGAAACACCTAAAGTGGCTGGGAAAAGTTATCGATAAATTGAGAGACCACGGTTTAAGCATAAATCGTGAAAAGAGCGTGTTCTGTCGGTCCGAGGTAAAATACCTCGGATTCGTAGTGAACAGCGAAGGATTGCAAGTCGACCCAGACAAAACGTCGGCGGTCATAGAATTCCCAGTACCTAAAAATCTCAAGCAGGTTCGTCGGTTTCTGGGAATGGCCTCCTGGTATAGACGATTTATACCAGAATTTGCAACTGTGGCTCAACCCTTGACGCATCTAACCAAGACGAAACAACCCTGGGTTTGGAAAACAGAACAGGAGGAAGCCTTTGAGGTGCTGAAAAAGCACCTCATGTCGGCTCCAACACTTGCATGCTCAGATTTCTCGCTACAGTTCACTCTGCAAACGGATGCGAGTAGCGTAGGGCTAGTCGCAGTGCTGACGCAGGTGCAAGACGGACAAGAGCGGGTAATAGCCTACGCCAGCCGTTCCTTGACAGACCCTGAGAGAAAGTACACAGTTACTGAACAGGAATGTTTAGCGGTCGTATGGGCCACTAAAAAGTTCCGGTGTTACTCGGAGGGTTATCCCTTCACAGTAATCACGGACCACAGCAGTCTAAGGTGGCTTCATAATATGAATGACCTCGCCGGCAGACTCGCGAGATGGAATCTGAGGTTGATGGAGTACGATTACAAAATCGTACATCGAAAGGGCGCGTTACATCACGTGCCTGACGCCTTGTCCCGCGCTCCGGAACGGGCGATAGATCTACTGACAACCGCGCTAGATACCAAAGATAAATGGTATCTACGCCACTGTCGAGACGTAGAGAGAGTCCCAGAGAAATACCATACGTGGAAAATCTCTGAAGGATTATTCTACCACCTCAAACCGAACACTTTCGTTTCGGTAGACAATGAGGATTTGAACGAGTGGAAGTTAGTTCTCCCTCGAGAGTTACGCCGTGGAGCCATTGAGGAATGCCACGATTTGCCACAAGCGGGACACCAAGGTGTCGATAAGACCTGCCAACGCCTGGCCACACAATATTATTGGCCAGCGATGTTTGAAGACGTGATGGCCTATGTGGGTTCGTGTCACGAATGTCAGCGCTGCAAAGTGCAGCAACAATCGCCGATAGGACAAATGGGACCCCGAGCAATCGAAAAACCATGGTCTAGAATATCGGCGGACACAATGGGACCATTTACGCGAAGTAAAGCAGGCCATCAGTACATTCTGGTGATCCAAGACTTCTTCACGAAGTGAATCGAAATTTGTCCTTTGCGTAAAGCTACGGGAGCGACAATACGGAAAGCACTTGAGGAGACCATCTATCGATGGGGAGCTCCTAGAGAATTGCTAACCGATAATGGTACCGAGTTCGTAAATAAGGACTTGAAAGAGCTCGCTGCTTCAACCAATATGGAGCATCGAACGACGCCCCCATATCACCCCCAAGCGAACCCCACTGAGAGAGTGAACCGTTCGCTTAAGGCGACGATAAGAGCGTATGTGGAAGCACACCACCGTGATTGGGATTGCCATTTGGATGCATTTAGATTTGCATACAATACAGCCCAACACGGTTGTTTGAAAGCCATACCTGCTTTCGTAAACTTTGGCCGAAAACCAGAGCTCGCAAACTCACTGCGACGAAAGATAGAAGGCGACGTGGAAGTCGAAGAGACACCTACAGCCTCATGGGTCGAACGTATGAAACGCCATGACACCCTGAGGCTAGCGTTCAGACATGCGTTAGCCGAAGCTAATGATAGGCACAAGCCTATAACTTGCGCCGAAGAGCCGGTGAATACGAGGTCGGTGAACTAGTATTAGTTCGCAACCACGAACTGTCCAATGCTGCCAAGCATCGCTCAGCGTCGTTGAATAAACCATTCAATGGACCCTTCGTAGTCACCAAGAAGCATTCCAGAAACTTCTATGAAGTTTCTGACTTAGCGGGTCGTAATCCAAAAGGCACCTCAATAGTGGACATGAAGCCCTATAAGGAAGCCGGGGACGACCTACCGACCAAAGAGTCGGAAGATGAGTTACTCCAGAAGATTTCGGCTTGAAGCATGAAAGTATAGGTTTCGGGTCGAAACCTCTCCTAAGGAGGAAGGTGTGTAACGAGATTTTCTCGTTACGGTAAACTGTTTTACAAACACGAAAACCCATGAGTTAAAAATGGTTAGAGTGAGGGATAGAGAGAGAGAGCGACATCTAACGCCAGCTGAAGAAGCTGAGCGAGAGATGAGAGTGACATCGAACGGCGGTTCAAGTGAACTGCGCGTGAGGTGAATAGACCAATCAAATAATGCCAGGAGGCGTGGTTTGGGTGAAACCCATCTTCTGAACATTATAAAGAGGCTGTCGATACCCTGTCGCCTTATCTAGAAACTCGCCCAGCTGTGTTTGGGGGAAACGGGCCAACGTACTGGCGTTCCAACTGGGCGATTCTAGAGGCGCTATCGACTTGGACTAGGGACCAACGGCTAGGTGAGAGGACTAGCGCCCCCTCGATTCCCGTCGAGCTGATTGGTGGTGGTGGGGTAACGGATGACCCACCGCCGCTGAGATGTTCAGAGTAGGGGGAGAAGGCCCTAGGAGATTTCGAGACAGTCAGTGACAGGCACTGGAGTTGAGCGGATGTAAATCGTCCGGTCCTCGACGACGGTTGAAAGTGGCATTAGTCCATTATTGATTATGGGGGTCCGTTGTGAGGATGAGGTCCGGAACAGCGAGAGAATGGGACGCTTCGGCGTCCGAAACAGAAAGATCGGATTACTTTGAGGACGTGGAATGTTTTAATTCCATGTCCTCAGGGATCAATCACCGGACGAAAGGAGTGGTGTTGGCGTGGATCCGTGGGCCGGGAGTAGGCCGACTCCTGGAGGCCCGATCGCACGTACCTCCACGACGAGTACTCTGGATGTTGGCCCGCGATGATAGTGCTTTTACCGAGCATTGAGGTTGAGTTGGGGTGGGCACAGGTGGGTGAGAACAAGTCTCCGGATACCTGTGTCGCATGTGCCTCTCAGTGTTCGGCGCTGCGAGGAGTGAGAAGGATTCGCAAGTGATAGTCGACCTCTCCAGATTTGAGCCACTCTGGAGAGGAAAGGAATACGTCAGAGGAATGGAAACATCCTCGGCGAAAGATACATGGAGGAATGGCTTCTGGAAGATACGCTTAATCGAAGTCCCTCGGCTGAAGAGACGAGGATCGATCGAGTGAAATACTCCTAGTATGGTGAATCTCGCCCACTCTACCGTTTTACGCTGATGCTGGCTCGGCATTATTAGCCCCGCCACGAAAAGTCCTCAGGGTAGACGAGTTATCCTCTGAGGCCGGTTTACCGTTGGATTTTCCGTGAAAATCCAGCTGGCGCCCGACTTAATTGAGCGGTAGAGGAGATGCCCAAAATAGTTTGGGATATTTGCTGGTGGAGCACCGGCAAAAATCCTTTACAAACCCTTCTGTAAGTTGCGAGCGCAGCTGTAGGGTGGACACATCTGAGAATAAAAAGAATGGAAATATTTCCAGTTCTGTGCCTGGAAAAAATCCCCGACTACACAATGAAATTTCTAAGATTGTTTCAATGATTCAAACAAACTTGTCCTATAATTGTCCATGAAATTTTCTACGATATTGATAAATCCAGTAAATTTCATGTGGCAGCTCCAGAGTTTTTCTCGTTTCCTGGCAAAATTTAACAAACTTACATTTGCCGAGCTGATCTAGAATTTTTTTTTTAAATAAAAATGAGAGAATGACAGTTCACGCCTCGTTTCCAGTGCTAAGCACTACAATTTTTCTTCGACATTCCTCGCCGTCTATGAAAATCTAAAATTTTACATATGGTCATTTTTTTATCATAATAAACAATAGAAAAACATTAGATTTGTAATATTCCTTGAGGGCACTTCTACAAATTTTATTCCCCTGTATCGATACTCCATTTTGGAAGGACGTCTTGTCCACAATCGTATTCTGAATAAATCTATCAATTTAATGGAGATGTTTTTTTTGTGTTCAATAACTTATCAGGTTCAAGAAGGAGTAACAGTGGTAATTCATCGCGTGGAGGATCTGGAATGAGCATGCAGTCAGACCATCGTTTGAGTCCGATCACTATCCGGAGGGAGCTTCGTTGTTCTCTCAGTGGTGGACCATCTCGATTCAATCGTCCAAGTATCCTGGACGATTACGAAAACAACACGCCAGAGTCCCCGGGCGGTAAGGCTCCCGCAGATTTTTCAGTTCAATGACTTCCAAAACAAATAATTTAATAGTATGAGTTTTGAGGCTTTCGCGGCCAATATTATTATTCATTATGATGGCTTCCGGATGGATGCCGCGTCTAGATTCAGCTTTTTGCCGACGTTTTGCAAACAGTTCAGTCTGCATCATCAGGTTGCTCAGTATCGGAGCAACCTAGTCCTGATGATGCAGACTGAAATGTTTGCGAAACGTCGGCAAAAAGCTGCATCTAGATGCGGCATCCATCCGGGAGCCATCATAATGAATAATTTAAAAGTATACATCATAGATACGCATCTTTCGCCCTTTTCCGAAACATCTTCACTAGCATAATTGGACCAATTCGCATTATGGCAGTGCTCACGTGAGGCCGTAATTACTTTGGTTACATGCGCTTACATGAATCACATTAGATTGTATGTTGTATATTTTCTAACGTTGACTAATCCTTTTGTGAAATTTTATTAACAAGTTCAAGGCATTTGTAATCAGATTTTTGTGGAATTACTGACGTCTACATGAAAAGTAGCCATGTTGTCGATATGGAGTTATGCACAATCCAGAAATTTTGATCAAATTACACATATCTCATCATCGCCACTTATCTTGATAGTCTGAAAAATGGTATCATTGGAGAAAATCTTCAAAATAATTCAACAGTGGTGGGTTATGCCCCAAAATAACGTCATGAAATTCATCTATTGATCCGGATAATGTGAGGACACGAAAGTGGCACATATTATTCGAAACAAAACAGAGAATGAAAGAATATAAAATAATGTCGAATATTCGTGTTTCAAAACCACGTGTATTCGACGAATGTAGATAACTGGGGTGCAGCGTCAGCATTTTACGCCCCGACGAATGGCCTTCGCGCGCGCCGGGAGACGTCACCCGATGCCTCGCAAGTGTACGACGACACTTTAATTACCTACTTTTACTTTCTACTCGCCTGATACCTTCAGTATCAGACCGAGTTTTTATTTATTTAATAAATGGTAAATTAATCGTTTAAAATCAATACTCAATAAAGGTAATTATTTCTATTATTTGTCCGCGTGTGATAAATCTCTTTCATCGAACCCCATCGCTTGGATCCATTTCATTTTTGGTGGCAGCGTATCTTTTGGGAAGACGGAGGCCTGATCAACCACTATCTAATCACACGGCGATAGAGAACAAGATAATATCTGGAGAATTGAACTACCTGAGTGTGGACTGACCAGCACCTGTAGCAACCCTTTCATCGAGGGAGCGTGAAGATTACCTTTAAAGTAAACCAGCCGAAGATTTTTCGTGGACATTTCATCGAGGGAGCGAGAAGATTACCATTGTGGTAAACCAGCGGAAACCTACCCTAGTAGTTCAACGTATTAAAAGGGCTAGTACAGCAGTAAACTACCCTGAGAGGAAGGGCTAGTATTGAGATAAGTAGCTACTCAAGTAAGATTATTTTATTGTTGGCCAAGAGATAAATAATCAACGATGTCAACTACTGGAGCAAATGGTAGTCGACTAGAGGAATCTGATTTCGAGTCTTACTCAATTTCGGCACCGGGGGTAAGAAGAAATCTATTCAATTCTGCGGAGAATATCAACAGGAATGTTAACGTGCAACGGAGATATACCCAATCACTGCATCAAAGTATGTTATCTGGTGTTAATCAGCAACAGGTACGGGTTGACGTTTACCCAACGGATGAGGACGACTTACTGGACGAGTTACCTGGGGCTGGGCTAGCAAATAGCACGCAGAGAAATGGGGGGGGGGTATTGAATTCTTTTTCGAATAATTTGCGTAAAAACCAACGTTCTCGCCCAGTGGATTCTGTACAAAATGTACCTGGCAATCCCTTCGATGACATCGAAGTGATTCAAGAAGGGGGTGAAGAAACGGGGGAAAACGATGTGTGAAAGATGGTCGAAAGGTTCGAGGGTCGAAGAAATGTGAACCCGAAAAAGGAGTTCGAGAAGGATTCGATAAGTAAACTCACTCAGTTGATACAAATGAAACGGTTTATTTAAAGAGTTACACTCACACATTCACACCTATCGTGGTCGCACTCGCTCCTCATGACTCTCGCGCATTCTCCGCGCGTCCGCACATTCCTTTCTCCGCTGTGCTCAAATCCCCGCGCACGACTTCTGTACCGCTCTTTACGCGTACAGGACTCACTCGCTCCCGCCCCAAACATACCTGTATCCTTCCCTCGCACGCACGTATCCCCTCTCCTATGAGCCTTCCTAAAGTGTCTCTAACAGATGGTACACCTGAACAGCAATTTTCTACGCCAAGCAACGTCTTCTTTCGTGCAAAAGCACTCAGAGCAGGGGGTTTCATTCCAAATCAAACTCCTGGAGGCAATCGTCACGCAACAGTGCAACCCGAAGTGCAACAATCGGGCGAGGAACGACCACCTCGACGTCTCGATCATCTCAGAGATAAAATTATTAGTTTGCACGAACAAGTTTCAAATCTCGAGATGAGGAACAAGATTAAAGAGGAGGAATTGAAACGACTTCTTGAATCTGAGCGGCTTCGTCGAGAGGAGACCGAAAAAGAAATAAATGACGTCAGAGACCTTCTGGCGGAGGCTTGGGCAGGACAAAATATGCAGAATAACCGAGAAACCGTGAGGGCACATCTTGATTTGACGGGTGCACTTCAGATGGTGCCTAATTTCGCTGGGGAAAATCCAGATAAATTGGATTCTTTTTTCAAATCAGTGGAAAGCGGTAAGAAATTAATGTATCCAGAACTTCAAGATCTACGCTTCGAGGGGATTCTAGAGAGTAAACTTGAAGGTGCCGCCATGAAGGAAGTGAAGTATAGCACGGTTTCGTCATTTGAACAGCTGAAGACTGAATTGGAATCACTTTTTGGGAAAACGAAAAGTCTCGTGGGACTCCAAGCAGAACTTAGTAAGTTACAACAAAAAGAAAAATAAAAATGTCACTAAATATGTCGCTCGCACAAAGGAAGTTACTCTAGACTTTTTGAATGGCTTACACAATTTGCACCGTGAATTCACCAAGGGAGAAAAATTAGCCTGTAAAACACTCATGATGACCCTAGCTAAACTTATGCTCGAGCAAAGATTACGTGGGCAGTTGCAGATTTTGATACGAGCACATAATTTTAAAACTCTCCACGACGCTTTTTCGGGAGCCATAGAACTGGAGAAAACTATATCTGGCACTTACAAGGGGAAAGGTGGAGGTCATACAGTGACACATAGAAACTCCATTGGGGGAAACAGAACTTCTCTGGGTAGACCATCTACTGGGAACTGTTTTACCTGCGGGCAAGCGGGACATCATTCGAAAGAATGTCGCAATGGAGGGCAGCGTAAGTCAACATTGCCAGTTGCGTCAGAAAGACGCAGCGTCAACACTTTCGGGACCGCTTGTCAATACTGCAGGTATGCAGGTCATGAGGCTGCGGATTGGCGTAAATTAAAGAAAAGATTGGGGATACCGACTTCGCAAAAAATTCCAATCGAATTGACTGATTGTAAGAATGGTACCTCAAATTTCAAATAAAATAATTCAACTGCCAGCAATAATAACAACAATACAAAGAAGAAAAGTGACAAAGTAGAGGCGGATAAATCACTGCTAATAGGAGGAGCACTGCTCATGTTACTATGGGAAATTTATCAAGGATCTTTCAAAAATCGCTAAACCCTTGCTCGAGTTGCTGAAAAAGGATGTACCCTGGAACTTGGGGAGAGAGAGCAGAGCGCATTCGAGACTCAGAAGGAGGCTCTGGCTACAGCGCCAAAACTCCAGTATCCAAATTTTGAAAAACCATTCTTGCTGACTACAGATGCGTCAAACAAAGCTATAGGAGCTGTACTGTCGCAGGGGGACATAGGCAAGGATCTACTGATTGCCTATGCTAGCAGAACTCTCAACAAGGCAGAGCAGAACTACAGTACCATAGAGAAAGAGCTACTGGCCATTGTTTGGGGGGTTAATCACTTTCAACCCTATTTATATGGACGGAAGTTCACTGTAGTTACCGATCACAGGCTCTTAAGATGGATATTTAACGTCAAGGACCCAGAATCAAGGCTTGTACATTGGCGAATCAAACTAGAGGAGTATGAAAATAAGGTGGTACACAAGCCTGGTAAATTAAGTACCAATCCTGATGCGTTGAGTCGAATCAACGTTGTAACTCGAGCACAGGCAAAGACAGAGATGGAGAGAGTGGTGCACGACGAGTGCTACTGACGATGAAATTCTGGGAATACTACGGGAATATCACGGCACACCGATTGCTGATCATCCTGGTGTAAAACGAATGCATGCTAAATTGAAGCAGAAATATTATTGGAGGGGAATGAAATCTGACGTGGCGAAATACGTGGCAAGCTGTGAGGAGTGTCAACTCAACAAGCAGGAAAAAGCCACAAAAGTTCCCATGATAGTCGGAGAGAGCCCTGAAACAGCTTTTGAACAATGTGCCATGGACATAGTTGGTCCATTGCCTGTCACGAATGCTGGGAAGAAGTAAATATTGACGTTTCAAGATGCTCTTACAAAATTCAGTAAGGCCATACCCATTCCAGATTAAGAGGCTAATACAATCGCACGTGCATTCACCGAGAAAATAATCTGCGAATATGGCACACCACAGAGATTGTTCACGGATCAAAGACCAAATTTCATGAGAGAAATATTCAAGAATATCTTGCAAACTTCTGAGAATTGAGAAAATTCAGACAACGGCTTACCATCCACAAACTAATGGCATCGTTGAGAGGTCGCATCGCACTCTAGCGGAGTATCTGAGAAGCTTTATCCAAGAGGATCAGACGGATTGGGATACATGGCTACCATATGCAATGTTTACGTATAACAACACCACTCCCCATACGGCTACAAAAATGACGCCTTTTGAGCTGATTTTTGGAAGGCGCGCAGAATTACCGACAGCCGTCAAACAGCCGCCCTGTTTGACATATTGC